AAGCTTTATTAGTCCACAAGTGAAATTAGCTCAACACTGTAGCTCACACATTAGAATATAATCACAAAAAAGTAATTGGTAATAAAAAATTTTACATAATTAAAGTGGCTACTCGTGGTTTAGTGCATTAGCATTGTTGTCCACTGCTAATAAATCAGTGCAGTGTCAGATGAGTTGACGTGTGTGATGTGCTCCATTGAGCTGGTATTTGCTGCATCAGCTGGTGCTATTGGTGCAGAGCTTTCCTGAAAACACATCATGGAATATTCCATAGGAGCGACCAAGGGTTACTCCTGTTGTACAGTGTGTGCCGGAGTCAGGGAGGAAAACTAAGAATGGAACTGAACAAAAACTCCACCTCCAGGAGATCCTGTATTTCATCATGAAGACGGACTGTGCTGCTATATTTCCTCTTTTAGTCTGTGACCAGTGACCACAAGCAAGTTATAATAATGAGTTTGTTACAGTTAGAGATTGGTCTACATGTGACAAAATATATTGATATTTTTTTTATCATTTCAACATCTGCGTTTCATGCACCGCTTCTTCAGATATAATTGTTTTTCTTACATGATTTCTCTGTTTGTGCATTAATTAAACGTTTTGTCCTTTCAATTACATTAATCTGATAGTATAAATCAGATAACAGTTATTCTTCCCTTAGTAATTTCTTGAATCACTACCTCTGCTTAGTAATTTTTTTTTTTTTTTTACTATCGATAGCCTCCTCTTCCCTGCCTCTCCACCTCAGAACTGAAGACTGTCAGACATGAGAATCACAGGTGTGTGCAGAGGTGGGAGACAGCAAAATATGCCAAGTCTCTTATTATTAGTCATCGGCCACTGCGCAAGTCTTAGTCAAGTCCTATTATCCTCAAATTTAAATTTTTTTCAACAGACTAGAACAATTTTCATGTCTACTGCTCTGCTGTGATGCATCGTTGCCATGTCAATTAACAATTTAAAGAGAAATATTCTATCTTTTGAAAGACGAAAAGTCCTCAAAATGTCACTCATAAAGAAGAGGAAACCCATCAGTAATAGAGTCTTTGTTTTGGGGTGGTAGTAGATTTTAGCTAGTACCATCTAAAAAGCTAATTGCAAACAACCTGTTATATAAGGTAACTGGAAGGTGTGAATATATGTCCCAGTTTTCCTGAATACATCCTACATCAGACTTTCTGATGTAGAGGATGTGTATGGTGTGTCTATCCTGAGGTCACCCGTGTCATTACTCTGCTCTCCTGACTGACTAGCCACTGCTCTTTGATCCCCATTGTTTACTTGTTTACTCAAAGATTTGTCTTTTCCAGTACAATACCCTCAGTTGGAACAACAATACACATTACACTCTTAGTTTTTTCAGGCCTTCTTGTGTGGTGAAACAATCAAATGAGTCTCATTTTAATCAAATTATGATCTAATCTAATCAGTTTTAACTTTGTGTGTATGCAATAATACATAAGTCAGTAAGAAAGAACACGTGATTTGGAGCAGACTTTGGACTTTGGAGGAATACATTTGATCATTTACAAAGAATTCATCTGTTATAGAAGCTGAGGTTTATTTAAAAGTATCTGGCACGGTCATGAACTTACCTATTAAGAGTTACATAAATTTGCTTTTCATAAGAAACCTTAAAATCAAATTAAAATTTCTTTTGCAATATAGACAACTCTACTTTCTAAACACTTAACCTCTGTCCATTGTTATTTCTTGAATCTTGATAAGAATTTGAGATTACTTTCTGACTAAGGATGCACTGATACAGCTTTTTCAGTTCTAAGTTCTAAGTATCTGCCAATATCAGATATTCACTGAAACCAGTGTAGAGACTGAAAATGGCTCTTATTTCGTTTAAACAGTTAACATATCCAGTTGTGTTAGGCATCTGTTATTTATCCTTTAAAACACTACTGAAAAGATTAGTATGAATAAAAGTTCAAACTAGAGCCCGACCGATATGGATTTTGTTGTGGCCGATATGAAACCGATATAATGGGAGTTGGAGCTGCCGATAGCCAATATAAACGCCGATATATTTAGTGATGTAAAAATTGACTGTAAATCTTGAATTGATTAAAAAACTTAGGTTTGGCTCTAGTGGATTCTAAATTGGGTTTATTTAGGCAACATTTATTGTTATTTTGACTCTTTACATCATATTTACAGACAGTAGATTGGCCTAATGGCATTTTTGCATCACATTCTAGCCACTAGTGATGGGTATTCCAGTTTTTTTTTTTTTTTTTTTTTTTTTGGAGAACCGGCTCTTTTGGCTCGGCTCACTAAAGCAGCTGGCTCTTTCGGCTCCCAAGCGACTCTTGAGATTGTTTTGTTGCAAGCAGGACTAAACCAGAACTGAAAAAGGACTAAAACAGGACTAAAACAGATTTAAGCCATGTGTAAAACAGGACTAAACCAGAACTGAACCAGGACTGAGTATCGGGACTCGGTTTCTATCTCTCTCCTTCACTCGAGCCAAAGATTAGTTCTGGTTTATTCATTTTATGCTGAACTGCAGCCAAATATGCACTTTTTTTTATCCTATGCACACGCAGATTTCTGAAAGTTTCGTTTTCAGCCCCTGCTGCTGTCAACTACGGGTCTACAAGCGGCTTGAAGAGAAAAAAGAGGGAAAAAGAGAAAACACGGCTCCCAATAAGAAGCAGGCTCCCGTTGTTCGCTCTAAGAGCCGCTTCGATCGCGATCGACCCATAACTCCTAGCTAGTAAACTACCGCTATTAGCCTTTAGCCGTAAATGCTGCGCACCGCGGTAGTTAATTATATGTATAAATGTGGATCATTCACACGTCTATTCACAGCTCATTTACATATCAATGCTGGTCCAGTAACAAATATACGGCCAATATAGTCACTTTACAATAGACCAATAGAAAACAACCTGTTTATGTGTGAGAGCTACAGCAGCTAATCGCTAACAAAACCTAAACTAGCTTCAAAGTCGATGTATTTCCAACACTCACCGCTCACACAGGCTCCTGCCACGTCAAAAGTCTGCACTAATAAAAGTCCTTCCAAATCGATTGTCCATAAAAAGTAATATAATCTCAGTGTTGCGCACCGCTGCGGGTGTAAACAAACACACGCGAGTGAAGTGACGTGACTCTGGTGGTGTGTTCAGGGACAGTAGGGACACAGACAAATTACACCGCAGATAAATACTGATGCGGAGCCACATATTAGGACATTTATCTGTCTGTAAATTGGATTAAATGAACATAATGTAGAGAGTCTAAGCTTTAAAACGAGGTATAACATGCCCACGTGAAATATCGGCCCATATCAGCAAGCATATCGGCCGATAGCCGATATGTCTCCAGGTGCCCATATTGGCCGATAATATCAGTCGGGCTCTAGTTCAAACGGCAGGATATCAGCTTAACCATGGGAATGATACACTGTCCAGCAAATTTTTCAGTGTCTGATATTCGATATCAGTGTCGGTGCATCCATATGTCTGTGATAGTGGTGATATGTACATAAAGAACAATATAATAGTTGGTTAATAATGAATTAAACATTTATTTTTGCTATTTGCAGTGCTGAGCAGGTTGACATGACCCTCTATCTGTTGCATCAAGTAGGTCTGTATTTTGTTAGTATTGGGCACAATGATTCATCAGCAGTATTATTGACCTACCTGTCATCTGAAGGTAATTTACTCTTCTCAGTCAAGCATCACCACCACCACCTCCTCCCCTACTCCTCACGGTTAGCACAACATCCTTCTCATTTTCCACTTGTATATTTTATTTAGTCAGTGAAAGGGTTGCTTGATGTTGCCTATGATACTTGCAGTGTGGCGTGGCGTGCTTGTGACTGGTGGGGGTAGCAGGATGTCCAGAGCTGTTCGTGATCACATTATCTTCACGTCTATTGAGTTAAGGCTGTGCTCGCTCCGTCGACACGGAGATGCCACGCTCTGCACTTGTAACAATGGCCCCTCTGCTGCTGTGTAAGTGTAAGAGTGCACGTCCTATTGGGGAATAAAGGATAGCAGATTACGATGAAACTCTCCTGGAAAACCTTCAGATTTAGAGAAGAGATTTGCAGTTGATGAAAATATAAAAATAGTTTTAATACAAATGTACAGAATTTCATTACAATTTCAATTGAATATGCCTAATCAAAATTTATTGAAACATTACACTAGAATGTATCACAGTATTTAAAGCTCCACTCTGTACCTTTTTTGCATAAAAAAATAGACAATACTTTGGATGATTTACTTCATTGAAAAACCTAGAAAAACATGCATCCTTACTGTGAGTGGTCTTGTCTCTCCATAAACCTGATTCCATAGCAAATCTATAATGATCTCTTTTCAGTCTGGTCCCCACGTCCTCTGTTGCATCTCAAGCTCGGCCTTATGTGATTGTTTGTGATTGATTGTTTTAGTAATGCATGTGAAACAAAGGAGCTCATTGGTCACTTATGATATGACAAATAAAATCAAATTCTTTGCTCGTTGATTCTGCAAAAATCTCTGATACGGATGGACCATGTGAGTGACCTAATCCACCAGTGATCAGACTCATCTTCATAAAGTATTAAAGAAGTGTGTGTTCTCGCACGTGTGAATCCCAGGCAATAAAAGTGATCCTTTCTTGCCTGGATTCTCCACATGAAGAATGTTTCAAAGTAACTTTGTATTTCATGCATAGAATTTTGTCAGTCTTTTGATGTTGCAGACACAAGACCTTTTGCTGTAATTACATAATTTGAGGAGTGTCACAGGATTTAACTGTGACACAACAATTATTTTAGGGCTGTTGACTTTTTGTAATAAAAGGACATCTGTCAGTGCATAATTATTGGTTGTCTAAGGTAACGGGTGCCAGTCAGTGATGCAAGTCTCACTTTGATGTAAATGCTTTTGTGTTGTACCGTGCTGTCCCCAATTTCTGGTTGCCATGGTAATAACAGGGCAGCTTGTGGGACATTGTGGTCACCTAATGTCCGGTGAAGATAAGGTTGGGAATGGGTCTAATGATGTGTCCTTGTTCTTTTCTTGTCAGGTATTTAGTTTAAGCAGACATGTCCTCTGAGGCCACGCCCATCGAGGCCAAGCGACCCACGACTCCTCCACTCAAGTCTCCGGGATCGCCATGCTCTCCTCGCTCGCCATCAGGTAAGACAGTACGAATGAAACTTCCAGATTTATTGAGGTTTTTTTTTTTCATTTCTATTGCATGGCTGAACCTTCTCCTCAAAATGAATTAATTTTATTAAAAGTTTAAAAATACTAACTTTTGCATACACTGACAATCCATTAAGAATTGGGATCATTGCCATAGTGATTAACAATTTAAAACAAAATACTATATTAATAGAAATCTGAAACCATGAATACACTGGCAACTGTTCATGTCCAAGTAGTTACTCCAGTGACACCTCTCACTATTATCTACTGTTGGGCCTTGTCATTTTAAGCAATATTTCTTTCTATGAACATCCTGCATGAAGCTTATTAATACTAATAATAGATTTTTGACAGTGAAAAGAGAGACGCACATATTGAAGTATGTTGTGACATGTCTTGTCAGACCTAAGACCCCCTGCGTGCAGACACAGAGAACGCTCCCCCTCCCCGATGAGAGGTTACCTCATCCCCAGCCCCCTGCCCACCCGCCGCAACCGGACCTTTTCTGCGTAAGATTTGCTCCTCTGTCACTATCTACTATCTACTGTTGCTATCACATGACAATTGTGTAAACAAACAGTTTTAGCCTAATATTATGGCAAAAAGTGAAAATATGTAGTTATAATACACGTGGGAACTGTGGAACTGTCTCGTTTGAAGTATGCTGCTACACATTCCTACCTTAATACCTCCTTGAAGAGAACATCTCATTATACACCCTGCTATGAGTTTAACACTGGCTGATGATGTTGTTCTTGTTGTACCTGTCTATGCTCACCCTGTGCCCCCACCTCTTCCCTTTTTCACAGGACTGCCCGGGCAGCTGAGGGCCCCATGTTTACTGGTGTGTGTAAATGCTTCTCCCGCTCCAAAGGCCATGGCTTTATCACGCCATCGGACGGCGGCAAAGACATCTTTGTCCACATCTCTGAGTGAGTTGACTGCTTGTTAGTACAGAAGATATTATGTGAATGTTGTATGTGTAGAGAAGTCTGGTCAACTACAAAGCATAAAACAGTTTTTAAATACACAAATGGTTAGAAACACATCAGAGTAAAGTGCACACAACTTGAATAGATGCATTATATTATGTACCTAACTCTACAGTATAAGACATTCTATATGAGATATCCTGATAAAACACAGTATGGAGACCCCTCAGATACAAAGATGTCTGCAGAGAGTAGGAGGACTGAATTATGTTCTGACCTTCATTGAGGTGTCTGCATTTTCACCCACTGAGGTTGAAATACATATACTGCACAATCACGTACCCACACACTTAAGTCATGTCAAGTACCCCACAATCAAAATGTTTATCTACTGGTTAATTTGAGCACTACTTGCGCTTCAGTGTGGGCACAATGCTAGAGGTCTTATAATATTCTGATTTAACCATAAAATATGATATTAAAAGTAAAAGGGTTGTCAAAAATAAAAGAAACTAAACACTAAAAGTAGTATTGAAACTCATTTGAGCAGGTATAGATACTAAAAAAAGTCACATTCACATTACAGAAATGAACCTTCTGAATAACTTTAGAATGATCTTGAACTTCAGATCAAGTATAAGAGCACATAGACTAGTATACATCCATGGACCACTATGGAACCTACCTGGACAAGTGAAGGATTACACAGACAGAAGACCCTATGATAATACAAAAGAAAGTACTATTACTTAAATTTGAAACTCACATTCTATTGTTAAAGGAAGAGTGTTTTATATTATCATCATTACATCAGAATCAGTGTTTAGTAGAGTGTATTCTTTAGTATCGAAATAGAGTTTTAGTATAAGTTGTAGTACAAGATCAATACATTAGGGCTATGATTATTAGGGCTGTGCAAAAATATCGATATATCGTATCGTTTAATATGATGATAAAATATCGATATAGGGGACTGCTGTGTTGATATATTGCTAAGAGTATTTTTTGGTATATTTTACAAAATTATTTAGTTACAGCACCACACTTTTGTTGCTTGTTTGGATGATTAAATGGGTGTGTTTGATATGAACTTTGCACAAGAAGTGGTTTAATAAAGACTTTTAGCATCACAGCCACGATTTAGCCTTTATTTTTTATTGAACCGTGTTGAAACGATTTGAAATATATCGTATCGAACCAAAAGTGCACAGTATTGAGATATGTATCGTATCCTGGTCTCTGTATTGTGGTATATATCATATTGTGGCCCATTTAATGAGGTATATATTGTATCGTCACCTATGTTTGGAGGTATACTGTATATCGTATCATGGCCGATGTATCAAGGTATGTATCATATTGGCAACTTCTAAATGATACTCAGCCCTAATGATTAGGTTCTGTTGTTATCCATTTTGAATAATTTTGAACAGTTTGAACAACGCATTATAAATATATTCCAAAAGCATATTTAATACTATAGGTTAGTTATTTTATTTGTTTATTTTTTGCCGCTGATAGTAATTTGTAGCATCCTTTATTGAGACGTGTCCCATCACTGTCTAATGAATGTTTTTTTTTTTTTTTTTAATCATATTTTACTTTATACGTGTCTCTAACATTTCATCTTTGTCAACTCTTGCCTTGCAGTATTGAGGGCGAATACGTCCCGGTGGAGGGTGACGAGGTGAGCTACAAAATGTGCACCATCCCCCCCAAGAATGAGAAGGTCCAGGCTGTGGAGGTGACCATCATCCACCTGAAACCCGGGACCAAACACGAGACCTGGAGTGGCCACGTCATCACTGAATGAACGCGCACAAATCACGTGGACAGCAACACCAGGATGAATCCAATATGTCTGTTCTTCATTGAATATGGGATGCAACTGTTTGAAAGAAGCATATAAGAAATCTGTAGTTGGACTCATAACTTGTTCTGGATGAGTGAATTTCCCAATGAGAGTGTGAATTAATTTTAGCTACAGAGTATTTATGGGTTTAGCAACATTTGAGACTAACCTTGTGAGGAAAGCATGGATGTACACGTTCTCGTTTTAAAGCACAGATGATTTTACAAAGGCTTTGTCCGTGTACGTTCTGACAGTATCCAGTGCTTACTCCAAACAAATGTCCCCTCTGTAGCTTAAATGATTTTGTTTGAGTAGTCTGTGGGTGAAATAAAGCATTTACAAGAGGCATGGGTATCCTATACGTTTTTATTTACCTTCACAAATCTAATATTCTGAAATACTAATTGACTTGAGTACGCGCTAGAGTCCTTTTACTGGTAAGCTGCTGCCATCATCTGTTTTGTTTTGGTTACTACAGTTCAACATTCTGTAGTTGTTACATCCTTTATACAATCTATGAGTTAAGCACAAATTTAAATGATTAATTCTTATGGTTCATTGTTAAGGAACTCAATTATTTATAATCAATTAATTTTCAAAAGCATATGCAGTAGACATTTAATTTTATTTTCTAACCAAGGCTAAACTTAGTAGTGCTGCAGTACTCACTTAATATAGCCATGTAGGAGAGATCATATTTTACAATTTAAAGGTATGTAAAATGTGAATGTCTGAACATTTATTACTGTGAGGTGTTGTACGCATGTGATGTGACCACCAGAGGGAGTCATCTTTCAGCATATCCAAGACAATGACAATAATGCATAGATTTCACAATACTGAACAGAGGTGAACTTAGAAAGCGCTGTGTTAAAGCAGAAATATAACTCATGACTAACAATCACCATAAAATGTTTATTCTGGCCGAGGGCAGAAGAGGGTTGAGTTGGATTTCTTTACATGAGCACCTTTATCTACACCTTTTATCCAAGTGTCACTGAAAAGAGGAAAACTAAAGCTTAAATCTGTTCAAAAGAAAAGTAAAATGTTTTCAAATCACATATGCAAAGCAAGTGCAAACCGTGATGGAGGAGCAGGGGTCAAAGGGAACCAGCCGGGCCTGAGGAAAACAGATGAGGAGCAGAAGGGAGGGGGAGGCCGGTGAGAAGAGGACAAGCAGCGGGCGAGAGGAGGGAGGAGCACCGCCAGGAGGCTGCCGTGCGCTCTCTTCAGACAGGACCCAACAGCAGCGGTAGCGGGACAATGGACCGTCTCTAACCGCGGATTCTAACGGGCTTTCCGGCTGCCTCCAGCAAACTGGACTCGCAGGTATTGCCACACTCCACTGATTGTATTCACTTAGCATTTAGCTTTAGCCAAAAAGGAATAAAGTGTGGCTGAAAGAAACGGCTGCAGGAAGGAAGCGACGCAAAGCAGCAACAGCAGTCAGACAGAGGGACCACAGCAGGGCCTGCCATCCTGTGTCTCTGTGGGTCCAACACGAGGCGGTGACACACGTTTTATCATACTAAAGGCATACATCCGCAAGATTTTGCTAAGTGTACGCGTTTTAGTGATGCGTAATTGCAAGACAACGGTTTTTCATCCCCAAAGACCTCAAAACCGTGCGCAGTGCCACCAGCTTGAACACGGATAAACATTAAACGTTAATTGAAAAGATAGACAAGTCTATTGTAGAGGAATATTCAGACGCTGTTTATTTTGTTCTGTCATAACTAAACCTACGCGCACTACGTCCACTGCACCGCCAGAGGAGGTAAAGGAACCCGCGCTGGAAAACACAGCAAACATGCCATTTCTGTGTATCGGTGAATGGGACGCAGTAATTAAAACAACACCATCAGATATTAAGAAATGTTTAGTTAGTCTAACAAGTCGTGGTAAAAATACAGGCTGGGGTTAGCGGATAGCATATGTCGGATGTGCCAACAAAGCCTCTTTCTAGCCAACAACAGCAGCACAGCACAGCCAGAGAATGCAGCGTGCTGCTTATTTTTTTTCTTTTGGACCAAATTGAACCGTAGCGTTGGGACAAGGCCTGCGAGTTTCCCTTCCAACAGATGCGGGATTGTCGCGTTGAATAGGCAGGGGCATTGTAGCTGCTAGAATGTGTCTTCTGTTGGACGTTTATAATGCGTGACGCACCCAGACATGCAGAGATACAAGGATGCTGTGCGAGCAAGGACGTAACGCATCTGTACTGGCGGCATACACCAGCGGAGGAACACCTATTTACTCCATATCTTGAATTAATACATTTTAAATATCCATTTGAAAGTCATACAAGCAGTCAAATGGTTAAAATTAACACTAGATTTGCCCCATAGGCGACACAGACTGACACAATTGCCCGTGACATTTGGAGGAAACACAGGCCTGGTTGTTTACTGAAGCGAGGAACACTGAAGGGACCTCCCGTCAATAGGATGTCAGTCAGTTCCCATTTATTTTCATATGCCAAGATCTGCTAGTGGCCAGAGTGAAAACAAAGCGAGGATCTCTTTTAGAAAGGTATGCAAATTACATAGGCTAGAATTGGTGTAAATATAGTGATTAGATACTGTCAGTGATTTTTGGGAATGTTGACCTGTCCTTGGGGCAGATGGATTGCTATAATTCAGCATTGTGTTACTTTTTACAGCTAGGATGTTTATTTTGGGAGAGATGTTTAATTAATAGAAGCGTAATAGCACAATATAATAGAGCTGTAAAACAAGAAATGGACAGAAGACATTTGGAACTACAGCAGTTATGGATTTATTGGAAAACTCCAATTTACTTTAAATTTTTCTTTACACTGTAAGCGTGAGTCTCTAATTTGAAGTTGTAAAAATCAAATAGTTTTCTATATTTTCACAGTATTTTTGTCACTGGTGAAAGTTGAAAGTATGAAATGAATGGAGTTCAGGGATATATTATACCTGGCTTGAGCAAGATTTTTTTGAAGTGAATATTTTGACATTTGTAGGGACCTACTACGTTTGCTCTAAAACTGAATATTCATGGATACAGTGATGGCACTAATTAATCATTAAGCCTTAATTAACTTGACAGAATTAGCCCTGAAGATGTAGGTGCTATTTTAATGAACCTCCTACCATGTGATCTTTATATCAGCATTGTTTACAACAAAATTAGGCCTAAATGTTTTCTAGTATATAGCAGTTGTTGTTTTGTTTTCACTGAATGTGTTGTAATTATAAACTTAAACTCCGTGAACTGTGTGTGCCAAACAAGCCTGTAGTTTTTGTGGTTAAAATCTGCTCTTGTGTTTGTGTTTTTGTGTCCATGGCATAAATTAGCTTCAGTATTATCATTTATCATCTATATTTACTTCAATGTCACATCTTGTATATTTTTGGTAACTGTTTCTTTAGAAATAGGAAATTGAGTTACAACCTATACCATTGTGCAAATTACCCAAATGTCAACCCAATGTCAACTCAATAATGGTCAGTGTGAGTTCCCACAAAAGCCAGTGCATTACCTGTGTTTAACCAACCCACCTTATTCCTGTTTATCAATACGAGCCAACATATTCAGTCCCCCGTCATTTCAAGATAACAATTTAGTCTGTTTTAGGCACAATATCCTCGTGTTTCTCAGTAGCCTCCAGTGCTGTCCAAACAATCACAGGAAAAAGTCCCAGAGCAGAGCACATGTTGTAGCTGTATCTTTCTATAGAACTGCATTACGGATTGGCTCATACTAATGTTCACATGATCTTAGTGTGAGTATGCAGTCTTCAGAGCGGCAGTGTCACAAGATGGACCACAGTTGGGAGGGAATTCATGATCATAGGCAGGGCTCACATGTTGATCAATACACCTCCAGCTGAGTCATCTACACAACACATCAGCTACACACACCCATCAAAACAGCCCTATTGTGTCTATTGATCACACGAACAGTCCATTTTCTTCATATTGATTTATCACTTCAGCAAATGTATTGTGTATTTTCCACGCGCAAATATTTCTGTAGTCATTTTGTGTGGAAAAAAGAGACAAAAACATGTTATTGTATGGTATGTACAGTATTTTTTTTGTAAAAATAATGCATTTCTCTGATCAGTATTAGCAAAAAATCTTAATCATGCTTATCTAGCTCATAATTGAAATCATAATTATTTAAACTGATTACTTAAATTCTGTCAAAATAACCTGTAGATAAAGTATAAACTTAATATATTTTGTTTGTTAGAAAGGTCTTGTGACACTTTTGTTTATAAGCTTATATAGATCTGGAAAGTAGCTCTGATTTTGAGTTGCAGGAAAAGTGTACATATCATTCTGAATACAAGGTGATTAATTGTGTTTGCAATTACACTATTTTAATACAGTAGTTTGATTATTTGCACCAATAATTTAGCTATAATAAACATACTTCATAAGAATTCAAATTAAATGATCCAACAATGAGCAAAAGTATGCCCCCATTTTGTTTTGTTTTTTCATTGAAAGTGACTCTATGAAGCCATACAACAAGTCATCTTATTAATATTTTAGAAATTGTGTGAAACAGTATTCCATTTAACATGATTTTCTCCAGCAAAAAGGGTCTATCTGTTGATGGGGTGAATCTGCAAGCACAATACAGTCTGTATGAAAAGCTATTTTAAGTACATGTTGTGCTCCGATACAGTTTGAACACTGAGATCACAGATAACACTGGTCTTCATTGTGCGCAGCAGTTCACATCAGCGGGCCTTGTTCTTCCTGTACCTGAGCCTGTCCCTGTTGCATATATAGCATGTGTGAAGTCTTGTGTTGGTATATGTGTAGGATGAAGGACCAGAGGAAGTACAATGTGACCATCTCTCCACTCTACCGTCTCAGTGTTCACACCTCGCCTGTGAATTAATTTTCACACAGATCCCACAGTCGGAGAGAGTTGGAAATGAGAGTCAGTGTCCGTGCTGGATTAGTGAACTGTTACAAAACCAATCCCACTTCACCCCAAATATCCACTAGTACTGTTTTATTTCTCTTTAATAGTTGCATGTCATAATTTCAGGGAATTTTCTGACCACAACTTCACTGAATTCATGTCTCTGTCTTCTGGGTAGAGGTTCTTTCTCCCTAAAGTTAGCAACAACTCACTTCATTATAATATTACGCAAAATATGCCAAGCCCATAACTTTGCCTTTGCACTGGTCGAGACATGTTTGTTGTTTCATGGCATGGTATCTTGTGTGCAAATGCCATTATAATTGCTGTAAACTTGCGTGATAGCTAAATGACATTGCGATCAAGAGATATTATTGGGGTAACCCTGGTGTTTTCTGTGATTCAGAGTCCAGCGCTGACAGCAAGCAAACACAGAGGCAGCGTGTGAGGTCACAGCGCGTCATCATTTAATGGGATTATGCTGACAGCTCCTCAGACAGCATGTGGTCCACTGTAAACAAATACACGCAGGGAGGCCAGCTCTTCTCCCAGTGCTGGGCACTGAGGGAATATATAACAAAAGGCAAAAACAAAAGGTTTTTAGGATTATTAGAAACGCACAAACTGTATTATGAGGGTAATCTTTAGGTTTACTTTATTGCTATTGAGAAAATTCATTCTTTGCATTTGTCCCATTCCTCTATGCTGCTGGGTAAGCTTGTCAGGAGCAGTGTGCAACTGCAGCAGAGTGCCCAGAGACCCATCTCCAGAGCTTAAGATAGGCTTGGTCAGGACTACCTTAGCTGGAAGACTTTTTTGTGCATGTATTTTTGGGTTGGTGGGGTGAAATTGAGTGCCTGAAGGTAAGACACAGGTGGAACATGCTAGCACAGTTTTAAATGAAAGTTAATATTTTGAGGTCAAACATAAGGATAAAGTTATTACTAGATTGCAGAGTGGAATGGGAATATATAGGTAGAGGTTAAATACAGCATCATGATTAATGTAAACTCTATCCAATCCCATCACACAGGCCATGACGCAGACCTGATCATAAGGAGGAGTGGGCGTGGAAATGTGTCTGTGTGTGGAGCTGCATTAAATGGAGAAGAATTGAATCACAATATGACAAAAATAGCATATTATCAGAGGTGTCAGATACAATTAAAGGTTTTTCCATATCATCCCGCCCTAACATTGTTGCTTCTAAGGTGCAATGAATGTTTATGACAAAGTGCAAACAGAGATTTGTGGAGACAGCAGCAGCAGCTGTTTTTGTGGTTAACAAGGACAGAGTGTTGACAGTGTGGTTGTACATATGAATGGCTCATATATACAACAGATGTAATCATTTGTTCACTTTTCATAATTTCAAATAAATGTGTTGACAGGCGATTGTCTCACTCGTTTTTGGTTTTGTTTGTAAATGTGGCCCTCCAGCTTAATTAAAAATATATATGAATGGCACGATTCTATGGCACACAGTCTCAACTTTAAACCTATGCAAGTATAAGTCTTTTGACCCCACATGCTTGTCTGCTGCAGGTGCAGAGTGTCCGACAGCCCAAAGATGCTGCCCTCCTCCTCTGTGCTCTACGGCTCTTCTCCAGGGGGCATCTAACTCACCCAAAAACATGATGAAAACCGAACCATCAGGAGGCACCGGGACCTCCTCCGGGAACAGCGGGGGAAACAGTGGGAACATTACCCTGCGCAGTGCCTCTCCACACCGGAATGCGTATGAGGCTGGGCTAGCTGCGCTCAAGAAGGCCACCGACCACCTCAACAGCACCGCCACTAAAGGAGGCATTGACCGCGGAGCCAAACCTGCCCTCCTGCCCCGTCCGAGCGAGAGGGGCCGCAAATATGGATCAAACGTCCACCGCATCAAGAACATGTTCATGCAGATGCAGTCACCGGGAGATGAGGAAGATGGGAAAGCCATTGGTAAGACAAGGGTTTTGTTGGATGTGAATCTAGCCCATGTTTATCCAGAATGAGGGTCCTGTTTTAGGATTCCTTCATATTGTATCGGTAATCAGTAATAGGGAAAATAAGAAGGCAAAACCTGTATTTTCTAAGGACAATGTTTGGACACTGAAGTGAGCAATATGTCAACAATAACTCTCTTTAGCTTTTAAGTAATTTCGATTACCTCATTTAAATTTTTTAATCATTCAAATTATTTATTATTATTCAAAATCGAGGTCCAGGTTGTGGCCATACAATATTATGTAATATGCATTGTAATATTGTATGTGTGTTTCAGGTAAAGATCAGGATGTGAAATTAACTTTAACCCGGACGTCTGGTCTCAGCGAGCATGTTGATCACAGCGCGCTTCTCAAAATGGGCAGCACAGTGTCTGAAAGAGTCACTCGCTTTGACGGCAAAACTGAGGGAATGGGCACCTCTAAACTACAAGAGACGAGACGGATCTTCGAACAACGAGTGTTACAGGTCTGGACTTTTAAGTTTTTGTTTTAAATGATCAGCCACTTTAAATAGGTATAGCAATAAAGTGTAATGTTATTGTATGGATCTAAATAGAGCATAACATGATTTGGTTGACTAGATTATATATTAAGGAGCCCATATTCTGTTATGTACTGGTTTGTGTTATAATGTTGTTTCCTCATCACAAACAGACCTGAAATTGTGTTTTGTTTCATTTATACATATTTAACACACAAACCCTGTATATTTAGGCTGAGTTCTTCTCACAAACAGAAAACACTTAATAAAGGAAGTGCTCCACTGTTTTAACTCCATACAGCCTCTCTAGTAATTCATTTAGATTATTTCAAACCTCTACTGAACAAAAGGTAACTTGTAAACTACCGCTTCATCATCACAAGAAGCATTTTGAGCTTCGGCGATGTAGACAGACTAATAATAAAGGGTTACTCGAACATGTGTGAATGAAATAAAACACAACTCTGGGTATGATTTGATGAGGTAACAACGTTCAAACATGGCTTAAAGCTCAAAAGAGTCAGTTTTGTGTAATAAAGAACCTTTAATTTTCATAATGCCTGAACCTGAATCTATGGTTGTTTCTCAGGAGAAGCAAGCAGCCACCAACCGAATCTTGCTGAAGAAAGAACGGGCATCTGGGTTTCAGGACAGCCGCTTGGACGTGGTGGCTAGATTCAATGGCTCCACAGAGGCACTGGACCGACTTGATGACCCGCCCGCTCCTGTGCCCGCCTCCATCCCAGCCCCTGAGAATGTGACAGGCCCCGGAGATGCTGTTAGCCCCACTGTTAGCCAGCTCAGCGCCGTGTTTGAGAAGAGCAAAGGACAGCTGCAGAACAACTACCTCCCCCAGCGCCGATCGGGTCCTGCATTAGGGCCAAAACCAAAACCTCCCCCCAAGAACGAAGCTCTGAAGAAGGTAAGAAGGTCTGGGTTTTTGTTGAAGTCAGAAGTCAGTCATCAGCTTTGGAAAATTATCTCTGGCAATTGTGATTAGAGTCAGATTTGCGGATTCTGTTCAATGATCAGTGTGCCTTAACATTTGAGTGAAGACTGAAATATGACCTGCTAAAATAATAATAGGTACATGTTTGTAGAAGTCTAATCTACAGAGATAGCAGTTTTTGTAAATAGTAAGACAGAATGTTTAGTTGTTTGCAGTCTCTGCGATTTGCAAATTTGCAACCATTACAATTTCTGTAGTATGATTAACTTGCTTTTTTGACTCAAGTTATTAAAAAATACACAAAAATTAAAGCGTTCGAACATTCCATGCCAAGCAATAACAATAGTGAGCCCAGAGTTACAGAATGCAACTTTAAACATTATTGATTATGGTTTTATTAATTATTCCAGGAAAAATATGGCTTATATTATTATTTTTATTTTTGACAAAGGTGCTGGCGCCTGATAAAGAGGGTGCGACAGAGAAACCTACAGCAGTGACGAACCAGGAAGTGCAAGAAACATTATCCAGTTCTCAGCCGGACTTGGACGGAGATGTGCAGAGCGAGGAGAAAGACGGCAGCACTGGAGCTCCTGAAATCATTGTGAACCACTGCACCCCGTCCCCCGTGCCTCCCTCTGTTACTGTGACGTCAGCCAGCTTCTCTGAGGAACTCCCCGAGTCCAGGGACAAGGGCTCCAGCACAGAGCCCATCATCATAGTGGAGCACTGTGAAACCAACGGCAACGCGGAGTCCGAAGGGGCCACTCTGGTGCAGGCACAAGTCCACGCCGCCTTAGAAAATGGACAGACCGAGATCCCAGCGTCACTGGAGCACAGGGACCCAGACAGGACTGAGGAAGAGGAGGAGGGGAGGGAGGACTACTCCGAGGGCGATCTGGTGGACATCAGTGCGTACAGTGGCATAGGGGAGGACGACTCGGGGGGCAGCCAGTTAGATGATGATGACGAGGAGGAGGAAGAAGAGCCGTATCAACCTGAGAGCAGCAGCCATGAGATCCAGGGACTTCCTGAGGAGGAGGAGCCACCGCCGGCCAATCGGAAGATCAGGTTCAGCACACAGCCAATCAAGGTGGGTCATTTGTTATTTTAATAAAGGTATTCTTAGCTGTAACAGTTGTGCTTGTATTGGTCAGAAAGGACATACAGGTTATTAACTTGCTGTGGTTAAGGGAAATTTGTATGGAAAATACTTAGAGCAACTGTACTTTTACCTTTACGTTTAGCTGTTTTTAGTTTTTTATTTTTAAATTTTATTTGGTGAAATTATAAATATTGAAGTAGATTCGCCTCCTTGTATTCATTTGTGTGATAAAAAGTAAAGCGTAGCGAGAGATTACCCTGCCAAAGCACTTCCTGTGTGGTTTCTGTGTATGTCTGGAGGCTGAAATTACCAAGCCTTGACAAACCTCCACTTTTACTTCCAGAAAGCCTTATAATATGTCTTAGAACTGCAATATAAATATAGTGTATTGCAGTGCTGTCATATTCTATATTTATGGATTGCAGACAGATGATTCCTGATTTAAAGGATTTTGTGGAGACCTTTCCCCATTCAAACGATGTACTATTTTGTTTTGAACTGCGTTACTGCAATAACAACAGAGGACAGCCAAATACAAATCAGGAAGGATTACAGGGGCCCATAAATTGTAACACACAGACTTGTTTAAACTGAATTTCCCCTCCATAGCCTCATACTTCAAGGAGATTTTTGGATTACTCTCACATATACTGCACAAACTATCTTTGAACCCTGAACTTTTTAGGCTTATTTGAATTTAAGGTGGGTGTTTCTCTACCCTTTACCTTCATTGCCTCCCAGCCCAGTGTGGCACTCAACTGGGGCAACCGAGCAGTAGCATGTCCTGACAGGCTGTGGAGCTGTCACTGCAGTGATCTGTGCATTTGGAGGACTTAGTAGAGTTTGAAGTGAACAGGTCTTTTTATACAGTAAATTTAAGTTTTAAGTAATTTTAAGCATATTGTGACGGTAGTCATGTGGACATCTATGGTTAAAAAAATTGTCACATTTTTCTGTAGCACTTTTAAACCTTTACAATGCTCTTTACAACAAGGAACCACTCACCCATTCACACACACATTCATACACCAGTGTACGCAGACACTGGGGGCGAGATGGGTTAAGTGTCTTGCCCAAGGACACAACGGCAGCATTCATCTGTGGGAACTGGAATCATACCAGCCAACCTGTGGGTCAGTGGATCTGACTGCTCAATCAATTATGTTATTTTTTTATTTTATTTTTTTTATGTCGAGAGCGGGACTCATGATCTGTTTGTCTCGAGCTTAATAGCCTACAAATACACCACTGTAACATGTGTTAGCTGTTAAAAGAAATAGTTTGATTAATTTACACACAGTACTGGCTAAGATGGTCAAAAATAGAAATGAACATGATTTCTTTTCTTTTTTTTGTGGTTGTGCTGAGTGAGATATTTCAGTCAAGGTGTCCCGTTATCTAGTGATAGAGAAGGACGGGTCTTAATAATAATTCCTGAACATTTAGTGTTATTACTGTTGAGCTACAATACTAGTAAAAGGGAAATATCAGTTTACAAAAATATATTCCCTTACATGCTGTGACATTAAAGCAGGGTCATAAAAAACAAAATATAGTAATTTAGTTTTACTTTGTATCAGAGCTCTGTGTACATGTGCTGAGAAAGCATTGTTAGTTTATTTAAGGTTTTGAAATACAGTCAGCAGCAGCAGATTCTGTAGTGCAAGTATGCAGCCACCTGATCTCATCTCACACTAAAACAATTTGTACCAAATAACTTCAGCAACTTCCATTCAATCCTATGAGCTATAGGCTGTAGAGGCAGAAACAAAACATGAACTTAGACTTAGACATAAAAAAATATATAAACATTAATAATATATTCTAAAGAAGTAGCAAAAAAAAAAGCAAGAGACTGGTGTCAAATAAGGCATCATTATCTAAATGTATATGTGTAAGTAAAGATAAAAATACAGATATATAATCATAAAATTACTATGGAAGGACTTGCATAAAAAAAGAAAAGTAACAATCGTATCTGCTCATAACAAAATTTGAGAAGAAAATATCCTTCTGATGCAGTTAAGAAGAATGCACTGATCGATTTTAGATTAGTTTACCGAAATATAGCACAAACACACATTGATGCTTATAAAGTAGCAGTAGGAGGTAGGATGCTAATGCTGTCCATCAATATTAATTTGCAGTGACAGCATGTGTGTGAATAAAGCCGTGAGCAGAGACAGTGCTCAGCGAGGATTTAGATCAGATGCATGTCTCCACATCACAGAGAGTTGTGTGGCCGTGACAAAGAGCTTTGCTGGTCCAGACATGTCAGCTGTTGTAACGCAATGTTCCTTATTGTTTCATGTACAGCAAAAAATGAAGGGAAAAAAAGAACCATCAGCCATTATGTAGTACCTATGACATTAAGCTCCAGAGAAAAGCTGTGATTTGTGATGAGAGGCAGAATATCACTGTTGACCAGGATTGTTGTACACAGAGATGTACATTAGGTGATAGAGTTCCCGGTAAATGTTATATCTTATATCCTGTACCATTAATGAAGATAGATGTGTGAGATGTGAAATTGTGAATATAGCAACAGCATTTACTCCTGAATTATTTGTTGCATGTCTTGATGTAGTGGAAAAACTGTTAAACCTCAGTAGCAGGAATGAAAATGAATGTATACATATTGTAATTGTAACACATAAGTTCATATTTTGTATTCTATCCTCAAATTGCACAGATAAAAGCATAATCTCTTCATAGATAATGGTAGTGCTTTGAAGCATTTTGATAGTTTCAAGGTGTTTCCTGCATGTTCAACCATCTTGCCCCGACTTGCTTCGGCACACACACACGCAGCGTTCTGCAGGTTGTAAACAAGGCTACCTCTGTGAGTTTGTGTAAGAGGTGGAATGTGGATGGGTGTGTTTGTTTTCCTCCTCGGCACACACCTCCACACATAAACATGATCCGTACAGAGGAAGGTGATTGATAAGAATCACCCACTGGGCCCAAAAATGATGCCTGCTATGCTTTTTAACATCTGAGATTACAGATTCAATACACTTGAACTTTGTCACACCTTATAGAACATGAATATATGGTGGTTATATGTTGATTTTTTCAGAGTATTACTGAGCTAAGAAGTAAAGCCATTTGTATCATGTTAAAAAAGTGTTTGGCGGAGCTTCATGAATTATTATGTGCAGATACTCCAGCTAGTGTTTTCACTGAAACATGACCCGAGGACACAAAGCAGAACCCCAGGTATGTTTATTAAGAGGATATATTACCATAACATAGTCTCCAACTTGTTTTCATTATTATTTCACATAATGCTGTGCAATTAATCAAATTTTGATCACGATTTCAATTTGTGTGTCAAACGATCTCCAAACTCTCAATCGAGTTGAAATGATTTAAAGCTTAACTAAATTTATTTTATTTTATTTATTTATTTTTTATATAGATTATTTTGGATACATTTATGCTTTTCTATGCTTTATTTCATGTTCCAAGCATATTTTATTCATTTTATGTTTTATACATCGCAAAACTGCTCTAAGGTACATATTTGTAGCCTATATTTATTTTCAGTTTGAATGTTTTTCGTAAATTATCAACAACAAACTGGGTTTTTTGAGAGAGAAATGCTGAAAAAATGCATTGTGTAACTAAAAAATTATCGTGTGAATAATCGTGATTACAATATTGACCAAAATAATCGTGATAATGATTTTTTTCTATTATCGAGCAGCCCTGATTTCATATAATTTAAGCATTCTTCTCACCCTTACTGGCCAAAACCCTCTTCAGATACTATAGCTTTTGTATGTATAGGCAAACACATTCATAAAGGTGCTGTGTGGCCACCTGGGATCCCATTCCCACATTACTGCTGTTTGCTGAAAAAACTGCATTGGAATGAGTGTGTTATAAATTAACAGCCTTCAGCATTAACACTAGCACAGTGTCTCCCCTGTGTGTTCAAAATGTCAATTATTTGCGCAATAATGGGTAGTTACTCAGTGAAGTCGAGCAAAATGGTCTGATTTTTATACATTACCTATTTACTAGAAAAATAAACAGTCAGTACCTACCTAGATATGTCATTCAGGAAATATTTTTTTAAGTTTCTGTACTGCAAAACTGATTCTTGTGCTTTAAGACATGTTAGAATGTTGTTACCTTGTCAAGGACATACCTGGAGTTGTGTTTTGTTTCATTCACACATTTGAGTACCAGTAAGCCTTTATAATTAGTCTGTCTACATCTCCAAAGCTCAGAATGCCCTGTTCTACTTAGCAATGTCATGAAGCAGTAGTTTTCAAGTTAACAGCTACCTTTAACCTTTTGTTCAGTAGAAATTGGCAGGGCTGAAATTGTTCTATGTTTTGATGATACAACACTATAACATAGATCAGAAAATAGCGTAATATTAGCTTTTCATAATACCAAAGTAAAAACAGAACTGTGTAAATTCAGGGGAAAATATTTGGTCCATTTTGCCAGTAAAATAAAACAAAAATAAAAAGCTATAATGCAATAATCTGTACAAACCTCATCAGGTGGATTACATTTGTTGAATGGAAAGAGTGATTTACAATGGAAAATTGACCCTGGCAGTGAAGAAGAGGAAATGGCTGTCCTAAATGAATGTATTTTGGTATTGAAACTTCAGATAGGTCTGTCTATTGAGAAATGCAGACTTGGCAGTATTCTGTAAGATCTTGTATTGATAATTTTGCTGCTGGTTGTAATGCTCAAGGCCTTATATGCACGAACTTGGACAGCTTTAAAGTTACTCAACAGGAAGGAAGTGTGACAACAGGAAGTAGTTTGACAATCACGCCCTCTGACCCCATTTGTGTGAATAAAAGTCACCATCTACGTGGAGAACTGTCAAAATAAGGCTGTCACTTCTCTCACCTAGACCTATATATGTAATAAATTAACACCAAATTCTCACGCTATCTAACCCTATACATTTCGCACTTATTGCCCACCGGACTTGAGAGACAGCCTAAAAACGAAAGTAGACGCTAGTGCCAAACTCGCAGTGGGCAAGCCCCGCTGTTACCATGGAAACTCAATCATGTGAGCACCGGTCTGGTCACTGGGGACCGATGCGGACGACCCTTTTCTTCAGGAGGGGGGAGGGGTGTGAAGGAGAGGTTGAGAAAGGTGGGACATGAATCACAAGGTGCTATGGTTTATTAAAGCTTTCAACATGAAAACACATCATCGCAGTGTATTTTTAGATGGACAAGGCATGTTATTTAACGTGCGGGTGTATTCCCAGCAGAGGCTCAGTGTGGACAACTAGAGGGGCGAGTATTTAGGACGGTAACCATTAACTACAGCAGCTTAAAATGGGAAGTGAGGACAATACGGCCATTGTTAGCAGGGCAGTTAAAAAGAGAAGATTATATGGTTGTTTCGCATTCAAAATTATCACTGTAATAGCTGATGCACATGCGAACCCTCCATTGTAGTTATTCTTGGGAATATAAGATCTGCATATATAATTAGTGGTACAGATAATTAGGATGCAAGCAGGTTATAAGACAGATTAGGATGCAAGCAGGTTATAAGACAGAAATAATCATCTTTTTAATTGTGATTCTCAATTATAGTGAGCCTTATTGCTTTACGTGCTAACTTATTTGATCCTCTCTTTAGTTAGTTTTAAGGAGGATCTTCAGATATGGCACTGCAGTGAGGTTAGCAGTGATTTAGAGGGAGGCTGCCTTTTGTGTAGTAATTTTATATCATCGTGTATTATTATGTGTTGTTATACCTGTTCACCTGTTGAACTGTTGTGACCTCAGATTGATTAAAGGCCTCGTAAATTAACTGTCTTTAATTTGCAACTGTGACTTTTTAATAAACAGAAAATAGAAAACATTTTGACCTAAGAACATACAGTTTGCCTATGTGGTTAGGTGGTACTTTTGGTCAGAGCATGTTCAGTGTGAAAGGTCCACACATGTGAAACACCATACCTGTCAAACTGAAGAGTCTCACAGATCTGAACCGCACGTGAAGCAGTGACTGAAACTAAAACCTGTGAAAAACTGTGAACACCAAAGACATTTTAATGTGTGTTATTCTAAATATGTTGTACTTTGCATAATGTTGTAATGAGGGACCAGGTTTGCATATTAGCCCTTGGCTATAATGGACAGGGCATTGGCTGGTATTGTAAATGTAACAATGCCCTTTGTTCTGTCTCTTTTGAATAAAAAAATACATAAATAAATAGATGTACTTAGCAACTTTTCTGGTGGGATATAAACTACCTGCTTATCTCCTCAGAGATGTTATTTTTTTGCTTGGAATGCTCCATACTAGAATATTAAACATGTATATATCTGTGGCAATAAAGACATCTGTCACCTGACTGACCATCTTATTATTCTTCATTGAGATAAGCAGTAAGAAGGTGGCAGGCCTCCACCTGAAAAACATTCAGTTGATTCAGTGCCTGAAATTCTGAACCCTGTCACCACAAATCTGATATCTGACCTGTGACCTTTGCCCTCTGCCCTGTGTACAGGTGTTCACAACATACTCAAATGAGGATTACGACAGGCGTAACGATGACGTGGACCCGATGGCAGCATCAGCGGAGTACGAGCTGGAGAAGAGGGTAGAGAAGCTGGACCTGTTCCCTGTGGAGCTGGAGAAAGGTGAAGCTCTGAGCCTCTTATGTAACTCACACACGTGCACATTGTACTGACAGGGCTACCACCCACTGTCTGTCTGCTCATAACACCATTATCCTCTCAGGATTAAACTTAGCGCTGATTAGCCCCATTAGCTGCTAGTAATTCTAAGCATAGTAGCTTTGAATTAGTGATGAAATGTGATGACTGCTCTCACTGCTGAAAATTTTTAAAAATGTCTTTATTCTTATTTATTTATTCAGCCACACAAAGCAATTTTTAGTCAGGTTCACAAACAGAAAAACTGCCATTCTTGGACTCAGTCACTAGGGGTGCTGTAGAGTCACCTCTTCACCCTCGTGTGTTCTGTTTGTGAGTAGAAAACAGTCAAAACATCAGCATACATAGGGCTTGTTGATTGGTCATCACGCACATTGCAAAACACTTAAAATTCTTACTTTTTTGAGATGTACATTGAATAGAAATGACTTAATTTTGCTTCATTATTATGAGTTCTTTAGATTATATTGTGACTTGAATAACCATATTATTTAATTGTGCATTCATCTTAACACCTCTGGTTCTGAGGCAAAAGAAAACAGGATTACTCACATGACTTTAATAAAAACCTTTACATGGAGCTAACTAATAACACAGAAAAAGTGTAAAAAAAAAAAAAAAAGTTCCTTTAATTATTGATACATAGTTAATAAAATAATGGATGCTGCACATGATATACTTAAAAGGCCGATATTACTCTATTTTGTGATATTTTTTCTGATTGTTATAATGTTAAAAGCTACAACTACATGACATCACATGGTGGAACAGAGAGACAAGCTAATAAACCAGGATTACTCAAACATGAAATGAATTAAATACAACATGTCTCTTTTTTTGACATGGTAACAGCATTATAACATAACTCAAAGCTCACAAGAATCCATTTTGTGTAGTATAGAACCTTTAAGACATTTTGGACGTGTGTGTGTTGTTACAGATAGCGACGGCCTGGGCATTAGTATTATTGGGATGGGAGCAGGAGCAGATATGGGCCTAGAGAAACTTGGGATCTTTGTGAAGACAGTGACAGAGGGAGGAGCAGCGCAGAGGGACGGCAGGTACAGTATATGACCCCCTCTGTACATAAAGTATACACTGAAAGTCTGTTACATCTGCACTGCACTTAGACACTGGTCATAATTATAAGTTACTGTTTAAATATAGCTCTGCATGCTGGCTATAGCGTATTTGTGGCTTATAGATATTCATGGATGTGGTTTTGAATGCAGCTACACTAAAGCCCTTTTTTAAAACATGTATAGACTATAAATGCAAATAAATACAAAACTGCAATTAAAGTAAACTTGAAGTAAGAGCCTCTTCACTGTGCTGAAATGAGCTGAGGCTTTGTGGGCTCGGTTGTGGGAAGGTGTGAACTGTTTTGACCGTCAATGTAAGATACAGTAATTCTAGCTGCTATATTTTCTTATCGGCAAAATGTCAAAATAGTCAAATTGAATAACAAAAATACGGAATATAACTTTTTATGTAAACACCTTTTTCCAAGTAGGGTGCAATCTGAGCTAAAAACAATAAAGTTTTCAAATTGTATATGTATTTCTACCATTAATGTTGCTGTTTTTCCCTATTTGTGCATGTATAATGATTTGGTCATTTGTAATGTTTGTGTGTAGGATACAAGTGAATGACTTGATAGTGGAAGTGGATGGGACCAGCCTGGTTGGTGTGACCCAGGCCTTCGCTGCCTCTGTTCTTCGTAATACATCTGGCATCGTCAAGTAGGTCATTTTTACACATATACACATGATGGTTTGTAGGGTTGTGCTAAAATAATGAATCATCAATATATTGTGGCCATACCGGATGGTCAAAGCCTGATCCTGTCAGATCTCACAAGCTAAGCAAAGGTGGGCCTAGTTAATTCTTGGATGGGAGACTACTGGGAAAATCAGGTGCCCCAGTGAGGTGGTAGTCACAAACACTGTCATTGTGTCCTTAGGCAAGGCACTTTACCCACATTGCCTAGTATGAAAAGTGATGTGTGTGTGTGAGCGATGGTGGTGGTAAGAGGGGCCAATGGCACCAATTGGCAGCCTTGCTTCAGTCAGTCTGCCCTAAAATAGTAGCTTACCACCATTCAGTGACTGAATAATACTCTGTAAAGCGTCTTTGCGACAAATGTCTGTGAAAATCGCATTTTAAATAAAAAACTTACTTACTTAGTTACTTAATATTTGTTGATACAGTATGATTATCTGAGCTGCTGTATCAATATATTGCTATAATTGATGTTTGTTCAGAGAAAAGGAAACTTGTTCATGCAACACACTTGACATATTCATTGTTTTAATGGTTACAATTGGTTTATTTTATACTCTTGTTAAAATGTATTTGGTTCTTAAAAATAATGATATATTGTGGAATATCTTGTGCAATATATCGATTATTACATGTATCACCATACCATGATAACGTATCGTGACGATATCGTATTGTGAGCCATGTATCGAGCAAATCGTGAGGGACCCTGCGTGTTTTGAAGTAACTACTCCTACAATTTTTAATAGCCGTTATGTTGATAGTGTTTGTTGTTTGTTTTTCCATCCAGTAGAGCAGCTTAGTTCTTTCATTGTGGGTGGGTCGCCTCTGTGTGTTTGGACTTGTACCGCCAGAGTCTCTGTGTTGTAACAGTGATGGTGGTTGTTGAATATTTTGCAGGTTTGTGATTGGTCGGGAGAAACCGGGAGAGCAGAGTGAAGTGGCACAGCTGATCCAGCAGACTCTGGAGCAGGAGAGGTGGCAGAGGGAGATGATGGAGCAGAGATACAAACAGTACATGGACGAAGATGATGAGGTACAGAAATAGCCCAAAGGAAGTCTAGTTTGTTATGTGAAATACAGGCCATTTTCACCCCCTTGTGGACAGTGTTAATACAGCAAGAGACATACTTGCAAATGGATAGTCTTCTATGCTACTTTTTAAAAAAAAGAAAAAAAGAAGATCATCAGTGTACTCCTTGTCTATCCAAATCTCAGTTTGATGCAGTGAGTCTTTTTGTGACTCACCAAAACAGGTAATGTCTGATTTGCTTTGCCAACCCCACAAATTTGAAAGAGGAATTTAAAAACTGGCAAAAATCTATGTACGATAATATTAGATTAGATTCAAATTTATTGTCATTACACATGTATAAATACTAGGTAACGAAATGTGGTTTAGCATCTAATCAGAAGTGCAAGGAGCAGTAAGTGCAATATATACAGAATGTGGGGTATATACAATATAGACAATATACAGCAGGGGTGTCGTGGGCCAAACTAAGTATTTATTGAAAAATTTCAACAACATCTGCATGTTTTCTCTTCTTTCGAGGTATGAAATATTAAACCTTTTCTTATTCAAATAAATGTTTAATAATAGTTTGAATCCAGAACAAGCAAAAAATAAAATAATAGCCTATCTGTAGCCGGCAGGCCAGCTTTAATACATGTTTGATATAATCTTGTGGGCCAAATATAATTATATCACGGGCCAAATTTGGCCCCTGGGCCTGAGTTTGACATGTCTGATATACAGTATATTACAGTGTAGATCAAGGGTTTCCAACCTGTAGCTTGGGACCTATCTGTAGCTCTCCAACCCCTTACAAGTAACTCACCAAAGGATTACTGAATTATACATATTGCACTGAATAACTCACATTTGATTGATTAAATGCCTACTTCCTTGGTAAATGTATAATTTTGATGCCTATATGTGTGCACTGATAAGTGGATAGTGGGTTATATTTTAGAGACATCTAATTGTACCTCATCTTCAGCTTACCATGGCTCTTTAATTTACAAAATTTCTGGTGACCACTAAAATGACTAGCTCTCTGGCATTTTCGTTTTACAAAAAGTAGCTTACAGGAGGATAAAGGTTGGAGACCCCTGGTGTAGATTGTAGTGAGTATATACAAATAAATATGGCAGTATGCACAGGAGGCAATTAGATATAATAAACATGGGGGAGATATGGGCAGATGTATTGTAAAAAAAAAAAAAAATACTATGAACAAATGTACTACGGCTATAGAAAATGTAAATATGTATGACATATATAAATGAGCAAAGATATATATGAACAGTATAAATACAGAACGCTATAAATGAATAAATAGAAAGTTATGTGTGAAATGAATAGGTAAGCATGTAATATGTAATCAAACTATTTTATAAGGTATATCGACAGGTTTCAGACAACATCACAATTGTATAGTTCTATAATGTTAAATCAGATGGAGGCAGGTAAACTAAATATGCAGACTTTTGTGTTATATTTGAGACCATGGATTTCATGACTAATATATATCTGTTTGTACCTTTTCCTTTTGGTATTTATTGTAAAATGCAATGCAAATTACCCCATAAAACAAGAAACTGCAGGTGTGACATCATCCTTTTCTATAATCTGAAAACAACCCTTATATTTTTCATTATGAAGCAGGTGTCTATTGATTTGTCTCATCCCTAAAGTCCTCCATACAGCAGACTCCATCTTGTTATTAAAATCAGCGTATAAAGGATATTAAAGTCCGCGCTCCCAATATACCCAATACCCAATAATACAAGCGGCCAAGACCTGTTCTTATCTTTTCAGGCTGGAGCTGAAGTCCAGCATAGATACCGCAGAGCAATACACTTTTATGTTTAATCTTCTGTCAGCAGTGGTATGTTTCTGTCAACATGGACAAGGCCTAATGTGGAGTTAATTTGTTTAGTGTTGCAGAGGAGAACCTGGAGGAGAGAGGTTGGCAGCCAGCTATTGATTGAGCAGAAGCTTTTAGCAGAGGACATTTAGAAAGGCTAACTGTGATAGCTCGTCTCCATCACTTCATCTGTAATGCCGTACTGAGACTGTGGGCTTCCTTTGGGCTCGCTGCCATTTGTTCCCTTTAATATGACACTTCAATTAAATTACACTGCATCTTTAGAGCAAGTGACTGTGGCTCCGGTTTTACAATCTATACATATATTGCTTGTTTCAAATGACATCACCCCATTTAATAGGCCATTCATATTTAATTAAAAAACAGCTAGAGTGAATACTGTTAAAAAATGGAATCTGTGTTGTAATAAAGTGAGTTCAAGGGTAGTGAATAACAGGAATGGTCTGGTTCGATGTTTTGAATTTACCTTTTAGATATTTGTGATGAAAAGAATATGTAAACAATACGCCCTTTATCTGAGAGAACGAACTTATCACATCCTAGAATCTGAAAACCACCAATACAAAGCTGTTTGTTATGAATTCTAATTTACTACTATCCATTGGAGAAATAAAGAGAAATAAAGTCTAGCTGGGTTTCTTTCACTCCTTTTAAGACACTTAATCTAGGGCTGTGAAAAATATTACTAAAACTAGTATTTTACTGAAAGCAGCACCTCAAAAAAACAAAAATGGACTTCTGAATAGTTTGAAAATAGTTTTAATCTTTACCAGAATGAGTAATACCACAGTGTAATATTAAAGGACTACTAGAAGTTTGTGGTGAAAATTAGATTTTACAGTCAAATGAGTAAGCCTTTTCTCTTACATTGAAATAAAGTTAGAACATTTGGTATTATGATAGCACTGTAATCTAAAGTGCTGTGTTTTTGTGCACAGACAGGGGAGTATGCCACAGATGAGGAGGAGGAGATGAGCCCGATGTTTCCAAACTCCATTGAAGTTTTTGACTTGGCAGAGCACGAGGCCACGCTGTCCCCTGTGGAGCTGGACCCAGAAAAATTGGCACACAAATTCAAAGAGGTTTCACCAGAATAACCTTATGTTGCATATGGGATGGGATATGGGATGTGTGTGTCACAAATGATTGCAAAGATAGTTCTGTTTATATATTCATGTGTAGTGCGTACTGTTGTGTTATTCTTGAGCAAGACTCATTTGAATGCTATAGTGGAAATGTAGTACTAGAGGTGCTATTTTATGGTTTATGCAAATGAAAAATTGCAAGAAAAAAAATCAAACTTTGAACCATTTAATTTGAAAAAGCAAATGGGCATTGATAATTTTGAAAGTCTTTCATTGTTTATGAGGTGGTTGTAAACATGAACTTAAGACAAAAATGTGCCTCTCTATAATCATGAACATTGCAAATTAACCTTGGCTGTAAATGCCCTAGAGTGTTACATGTTTGATACTAGTTCATACTAGTTGTCTCACGAACCACATGAATAAAGACTTAAATACATGAATAAAAGTATTTCCTTGTGCCTGTAGCTCCAGATCAAACATGCTGTAACCCAGGCCGAGGTCCAGTTGCTTAAGAGGAAGGTGAGTGCTGATTTCTCATCCACACAAATGCACTGGCTGAGTCCAGTGATGCTGCCCACACAGACGAGTGCAATAACCGTGTTCTGATATGACCCCCTCACAGCTGGCTCACGCTGAGCAGGACCGGCTGCGTTGGCGGATGGAGCGCGCTCAGTTGGAACAAAGCATCAGGGACAGTAAAGAGCGCATGGAGAAGCTGGAGGGCTACTGGATGGAGGCTCAGTCTCTGTGCAAGGTAATACAAACAAGATAATAATGTGTACAGGTGTACTCACATCTGTTTGAAATTATGGCAACACTTTATAATAACCACATCTCAATTAGCCCTCATAAAGCATGAACAAAGACTTCATTTTGATTGTTGAATTTGAGGGCTTGAAAATATTTGTGCTGAATATTTAAATAGTGACATGTTGAAAAAAAATACTTAAAAATAATAATTTAAAAGAATTATAATTTAAAAAAAACTTTTAATCTCCCATATTAGGATATAAATATATAATAATATACAATATAAATTAAGTAGCTACTAAGCCTGAATCATTCTAAATAAACTACATGTTTATTATGATTCAATATTATTTATTGAAGCATTATGAGGATTAATTAAAGGACTAATTAAACTGTAGTTGTGTTATCAAAATAGCAAAAAAGCTCCACACTGAATTAGCAACATGATGTGTCTGCTAGAGAAGGCAGTTGCATAAATAGATCTAAACATTTCTGTCCTTTTAAAAGGTATAATGTTAAAAATATGATGTATCGATCCTAATCCAAAACATAGCAGGAGGGATTTTGTTTTGTCAAATCTGAATAACTAAATCGCCTACTAATATATATTGTTTTTTGTCTGACAGGCTGTAGATGAACACCTAAAGGAAACCCAATCTCAGTATCAAACCTTGGAGCGGAAATACAGCAAAGCCAAAAGACTGATCAAAGAGTACCAGCTCAAGTAAGATTTATACAACACAATATAACTGTGATAGGGAATGATGATGTGCAATAGTCTGTGTATGTTTGTGTTTCAGGGAGGCTGAGTATCTGAAGAAAGAGGCCGAGCAGCAGCAAGAGCAGGAGCAGAGCCAGGCCACGCACCAAGAGGAGACAGTCAACCTCCAGGAAAAGGTTTGCCCATTTTCATGTTACACACTGTTGTTAAGTGTAAAAGAAGAAGAAATGTTTACCGTATTACTTTACAGTTCGCTAAATGTATTGTAGGGCAATAACATACACTGGTATACAATAAATTATGTCTTACGTGCAAGAAAAACATCTGTAATCAAATAAAAACAAGATAGATTTTAAGCAAAGAAAAGAAAAAGAAAAGTTATATAGTGCAGCTTTAAAAACAAAACATAATCACCCATATTAGAACGACTACTTTCATTTTACACACTGTATTTACATGAAGCCTTGTCTGTGCCAGTGTGCTCCTTGGTTACAGAGACACAAACTGCTAAGAGCTTCATTCATTGACTCCACTGACTGCGTACTGTCTGGACACAAAATGTCCTCTTATTATTTCTCATTCTTGTCTGTTTCATTGATTTGAGATTCTTCAGATTCCACTGTCAGCTCATAAACATTTCCCTGGCTCGAGAATTTGAATTCCTCATCTATTTATACATTTGTCCCTAAAAATACTAATCATTTCCTGTCTTTGTTTCCTCAGATATGTGACTTGGAGACCAAAGTGGATGCCCTGAAGACCCCAGACTCCTAGAATCTTGCTGTCCAAAACTGAGGAAGAATGCTGCCTTTATTTTAGTTTGTCTGCTGCAACCAATCCAATATCGAGCTGGGAAATGGATTACAACTCTACAACACAGCTTACAGCCCCCTACACTCAATTTCCCACAATGCATATCTCCTCTCACAGATCCAAAATCATACTTGTGTGTCTTCCTGGCAAAGTGCTTGGCAATCAACATGGAGTTTTGGAGTATTTTATTGTCAGACTTTTTCACAGCATGTTTAAGCAGGGATCCTACTATGACTATGGCTAGTCACAAAGTGCTTTACGGAGGGACAGGCTAAAGAAGACGACTGGTCATTGGATTGCTGTTGCCATACATTTTTGTGAACTGTAATACAAAATGGCTACCATGTTTTTACGGACAAATTGGGTGGCCGACCAAATCCAGGGACTTAACTTACTTAGGTCTGTATCCAGCCTAAACTAAAGCAATGGGATGTGTATTGAAAACATGGTGGTATGTTGTTTGTACATATTCTGTGTATTTAAAGCATTTAGGTGGGTAGGAAAGTAGGACACAACAGGAATTCATCTCTTGACATATATGGCAAACAGGGTGTGACTTCTATGGTGTATATACAATATGTGTTTACGAAAATGAATTGTGTTTTTACATATGCAAAAATGACATTTCACTAATACTAAAGACAGTCACACACTATGCTTAAACAGGATAGAATAATACCACAACCGAGCCCACAAACGGATTCAGATTTTAAAAGATAAAGCATTTTACTTGGATCTTTTTAACAATTAATTAGTAACTTTAGTCCTACTTCAGCCACTGAGCAGAATCATCCATTACAAATAGTATGTTAATGTAATATATACTGAACAACACAAGAAAACTAACAACATTGCATACATATTATTGAAAAAGTAATTTATTGTCTCTTTATTCCAGTTAATCCATTTTTTGCATGTAATGTAAACACACAATTCCAATTAGCAGATTAGTAGACGGTCCCAGTGGCAGTGTTATGAATATAAATATAAAGTTAGTGCTTGATATCAAGAACAAATGTGGGTAACTAATCAGATGTTATCCTTGGATTCTGACTGAGTTTTCACGTATTTCTTCCACCTGGGAAATACTGCAGTATGATTTTAGAAAGGACAGGGCAGTTTGATTCAAATCTCATTATTTGCATGTGGTGCTGAGTAGAGCAGTGCACTGAATCGTAGAACTAGAACATGTGTATGTATCTCCACAAGATTATCATCTGAAAGTATTTTTGTTTTTTCTGGAAACGGCTTGCTGGCCAAGCTCTGATTCGATTTTTGTAACTGAAAACATGTCCAATCATTTTAACAGAAAACAGGATTAAAGGTGCTGTGTAGCTTTGTGATCTAGTGAAGGCTTTACAGATTGCAATTACCCAACAGAACTACTGATTTCAATTTGTCATTTTGAACAGAATAGCTGAACAACATAAAAATAATAAATTAGTATAAATAATTACCAATCTAACCATTTACACATCGTACCTGAGTCAGTGAGCTCTGATACTCACAACATCTCTCTTGTAATTTCCCCAAACCTTGTATATAAGTCTTTCTTAATGACTAAATATGTGGCCATACGAGTTTGATAAACAGTATTTGATTTTGAATTGTATGCATTGAGCTCAAGTTAAAAATGTGTTTTGCCTAAAAAGCCTTTACATCGACTATCTCCATTCATCTCTGACTATCGCTTAAAATTTAATAATATATCAAAAGTAAAAAATAAAAAGTTTGTAGGATTTTTATTGATTTGTATTGGTCAAAGAATGTAACCAATTTGAAAGAATAGCTTAACCAGAGTCATATGTAATTATATTTATTTAATATTGACACTGACCATTAGTATTAGCATATAGTATTGGGAAAATGTTTGTGCAAATAGAAAAGATTACTCAAAAGGTCTAGAATGGCGATGCTTGGGCCTGTCATGATAACAAATTTTGAATCACGATATATTGCTACAGATATACTGCGATAAATTATAATATTGAAACTACTTTATGCCACTGATATAAAACATTTTTAAATAACGAACCAGTAATTAAGCCAGAGAAATCACTTATTTAACCTTTTTATTACAACAAAAATACCCAAATCTCCCCACTTTTACAAAGAAAATGTACACACAATGAAAAAATATATTGATTTCATATATTTAACGATAAGTCGATGTAGTAATTATCGTGACAGGCCTTACAATGCTTCTGGTATGACTGAGTTTTATAGGGGACAACAATGAGCCATACTGCACACATTTACATTCACATATAAGAGGCTGTATAGTTGTCATTTGGCACACTTTCTTATGTAATGCCTTGTGTCTACTCGCTCTACTTGTCTAACCACTCTTGAGGGATTGTAGCACTGACTGTAGATGGATTATGCCTTCAAAGCCCCCCAATAAGCCATTGTATTGTAGAAAGGTGATCAATATTAGTTTTTGTCACTTCCTTATGCTTTACATAGTCCTTACTCTAAAACGTGCAGTTATTTGAATGAATTGTTGGTATTGACACTCTTTGGGCAGGTGAATGGGTCTAGTGCCTTGTCTTGGTAATAGTAATAAAAATCAAGTGAGAATTTAGTTTTCGTATGTGTTGAACCATATCTTAAATCACACATGCTGGCCACATTAATTAGGTCTGTGTTCTAATGCACTTATTGTGAATGGGATGTTTGACTTGAATTGCATTTAATACGGTGTATCTAATAAAGTGGCCGGTTCGTGTATGAACAGAACGAATGAGGTGATGTACCCTATATGTTATAGACCAAGAGTAGGACAATCTTTTTCAAAACTCCACGTCCTCCTGCTGATGCCACCATGTTTGTCTCAACAAATGTGTCAGAATTAATAAAGAAATGAATGAAATACAGTGTGGTTCATGTTTCAGTTCAACAACAACAGACAATAGTTCAGGTTAAGCACTATCGGTCTTTATTATTTATCTTCAGTGCTTAAAATAAATACAAAACATTTGGGACACCTGATACAGCGACAAAGACCTGCTTCAGTCAAATATTGTCTGTCAAAAAAAAAAATTCTAATCAGAATTAAATTAGTTACCAAGAATTATTCAAATAGCTCCAAGCGCTTCCAAGGTAGTTAATTCATAATGATATCCAGAGAGAATGGCCACTCAATTAACAGCCATGAAAAATGATTAATGATGGCACAAAATGTCATGAAATAATTTTGACAGAATGGAAAATCTAAATTCCAGTTAAGCTTTAGCACAGGATACTTGAATATTTGAGCAGCTAAGCACTATGGCTAACACACATATGGCCAACTCATAATGTGATCTAAAAGCAATTAACACAAATGAGAAGTGAATCAAACGGTTTAGTATTGTGTCAGGTTTGGAGTAGTGCAGTGTATTTGGATTGTAATCTCTTTGAAAAAAGGGGTCAGCGTAAAGAGGTAAATTAGAGTCACATAAGATACATTTAATTTCATTTCATTGGTTGATAATTCAAAATTCCTAGGTTATGTAAAACATTGTTAACTTTATTTACATAAGTATTATGAAATTTCAGCTTTCTTTACAACAACGCGGGTTAAATTGCTTTCTTGCTTCTGATCATGACTCAAAAATATACTTAAATTATGAATTTACTTAAACTTAAAGTATGAATTCAATTAAGTTTCTCAACAGAAAAATCTGTTGGGAAACCTTTATAACAGAACACTAAACCATTGCTTCAAAATTAAAATGTAACACAGTTATGTTTAATGTGACCAAGCTGTAACAAACTGAAGGCGTGTTATGAATATTTTTGTCCAAGGCACTGACACACTGCAGTACAATAGTAACAATATTTAACAACAAAGACATTCCACATTAAGAGATGAGTTACAAACGTGTTAGTTGTGGTAACAGAGGTAACGGAGTAGAAAGAGGGCAGTCATTGGCTCTCATTTTGAAAACTAGGACTAAACCTGTTCAGTCTAAATGCACATTTCAGTCTGGGGTTACCGTTAGCATGTGGTGGTGCTAGTACAACATGAGCAGTGCCGGTGTGAGGACATCACGGGAGGTTTTGTGTGTGTGTTTTAGTCGTCCACACCGATGTTGCGGAACAGGTAGGACATGGACTCCCCATTGTGAATGCGGCGAATGGCCTCAGACAGGATCATACTGATGTCCACCGTCTTAATCTTTGGGCACTGGAGTTTCTGCAGCTCATGGGGGATTGTGTTGGTCACCACCACCTACATGACAAAAGGAAATGTATCACTATATGACAGACTGCAAATTAGCTGCATTTATATTACAGTAAATTTAAAATAGGACAATTTGCACTGGTTCATTTGGCAGAATAAACATAGGTTTATAAGAGTGGTAATAGTGGAAGCTGACCTCATCTATGGCAGACTCCTCGATGAAGCGTGGTGCCTCTGAGGACAGCAGACCGTGAGTGGCCATGACGTAGATTTTGTAGGCTCCCCGCTCCTTTAAAGTCTCTGCTGCAGCCACAAAACTGTCCACGTCGTCAATGATATCATCCTAAAACACAAACAAATGTACAGATTAGGCATTGCTAGGGTCAGTTATTTCACACCTACAGAATATGACCCTATTCACCCCCCCATTCTTACCACTATGATGGCGATGCGTCCTCCTACATCCCCTACCACAGTAATGGGAGGTTTCTCTTTGGGGATCAGCACTGACAGACAAAGCAAATGTAATTATTTTAAACTGGAGCAAAAGTCAGCTCGACATCAGTACTGTTCAGAACACTTGATTCCAGTTCTACATATTATCAGCCTGGGATCACTCTCTCTGAAAGATAAACTTTTGTTAAATCCAGTTTAGAGTAAATCAGATATCTTTCACATCCATAAATGCACAAAGCATTTCTTTGTTTTGAAATCCAAATTATTGTGGGAAATCATCTTCCTGTGCAAGGTAATTAAGCTACATGTAAATGTAAATCCCAGCGTTCCTCAGTCCCATCAGTGAGCGACAGTGTAGACAGAGCGACTGTACTGTGCATGTAAAACTGTTGTGGTTAAATGATGGATTCTTACATGGGATCTCCATGCTGGGGTGGATGGCTCCAGTGGTTTTGACAGTGGGAGGAGAGTGTCGCCCATCCACCTGGTCTGACTCCGCATCCTGCGCCTCACCATGGATCACGGCGATGCCCAAACGCAGGCGCTCAGCAAAAGACTGAGCTCTGGATTACAAGAACAAAAACATACAAGTTCATATCAATAAAAATCAATACAATATGTTATACAACAAGAATGCAAAAATATTCATTTTTAGTCAGGATGTCTGACCGTTCTTTTTAGCATCAGAACACTATAACCAACCAGAAGAACTGTAGAGAACTGAAACAGGAAACCAGGGACAGCAACCTGCTGTTTAAGCATGTGTGTAGTCTAGCCCGTTTGACTCTGTTCTTCCTGGATCATATTTCACGCAATGAGGTCCTACACTAAAACATTTTCACATGACCCAGGTAAAATTACAAGTCTTCTGTGACAGAATTTCTGGCATAAATTTGACAAATCTAAAATTGTCTTGCAAAATGTAAAAGCCTCTTTGGCACCACCCAGTGGTTACTGGAAGCAAACCAACAACATGTCTGGAAAAATGACTGTTCTTTTCATTATAGCACCAGAATTACATAGAACCCATCTCCTTAGTTGCGCTTTGTTTAATTATTAAAATAACAAAGTAAAATACATCAATTCAAATGTGCACTTTTACAGATGTGACTGATTTCTGCAGTACTATGATAATGCCAGCAGTGATTTCATTAGCACTAATAAAGTGGAATGTCAGTGTAGAAAGGGTCTATAGAGGCTGCTAATGCGCAAACCTTTTGGCAGAAGCTGGGGATTTGGCCACTATCACCGCATTTCTATAGTCAGGAATCTGCAGAGGACAAAAGCACCAACTGTGAGGCACATCAGTGTAAATCACGTGTGTGCATTGTGTGTACATAGTATGTGTATTGTACGTTGCAAGTCTGTATTGTACGTCTATTACCTCCTCCTGGATGTACTGCAGCAGGAAGGGTGATGCTCTCAGATTGTCCACTGGAATGTTGAAAAAGCCCTGGATTTCTTTCTGATGGAGGTCCATGGTGATCAGGTGTGTCAGGCCTTCAAAAACATACATCAAATATTACACCACAAAGACTTGGAAACATATCAACAAAGCATTACTAATGTGAACAAATAATTAGTGGGATGTGTAAACTTGAAGTGAAGAGTTGACAAAGTAGTCAAATATGGTATCTAAGGTAATGTCTCTTCTGTTGTTACAGACCTACAGCATTCATTTATTTTGTGCATCTAATTTTCTAGCCTGTACAGTACACAGACATTCCAGTGGTTGAATTAAATCATTTACTCTATTCAGTGAGATTAAATTTCTCTGCAAAAAAAACAAAAAAACCCCACAAAACATTACCTTACATTTACCAGAAATAAAAAGCTGTACAAAAAAGATCAAGTTAAAACAGTCATAGAACAATGGTACAGGTTGTGTTTATTATTTTTCAACTGTGTAAATGTTTCCATGTTCATTCTATTAATGTTATGCCTTATGGGGTGGTTAGTTAGTCAGTCACCTGCTTTACACATCATGGAGGCGATGAGCTTGGACACGATGGAGCCCCTCTTCCTCATCTTGCACTGTTTGCTGTAGGGGAAGTAGGGCAGCACTCCGGTGATGCTGCGGGCACAGGACGTCCGGCACGCGTACACCATGATCAACATCTCCATTATGGTGGTGTTCACATCCCTGACAAACAGTTATTTAAAAAGTTACTCTATCTGACAATGACTCAAAATATACATAACCCACACCCTGCAAGAACAAACTACACCAAGGGCCAGCAAATGAACTGTCCCCAGCCCTCTTTTCACAAATAGAAGGACACATCTCACCAAGCACTGGACCTGTTCATCATTTAACCTAACCCATTTATACTGGCATGTATGCATAAAGAGCACCTTTCCAAAAAATTAACAAAAAAACAAAACTTGGAACCAACTTTTATTTTCCTTTACATCAAGGAAAAGGTTGAACACAACATAGAACTGTTTAAACTGTGAGCACTTACTTGGACACAGTTTGGATCACAAACACGTCTTTGCCTCGCACAGACTCCTGGATCTGGACCCGGGTCTCTATGGAAACAAACAAACAGAAGTGAGTGGAGGAGCAAGTGCACGGACGCTGCTGTAGTTCACTGTAGAAGAACAAAAGGCTGTGCGGTCATTAGAGCAACTGTTCTGTCTGTCTCAGAAGTCTGGAATGAGACAAAGTGGAGAAGCCAGCATTCCAAAACAAAGCCTCCCACGAACTAGAAAAAAATATAAATGCCTTGAGGTCGAGTCAACTGTTATCACAGTTGTCGCAATACCAAACATATGGCCTAATATTATACACTAAAGTCAGTAACGAGTTAGTTTAGTAGCACTCTAAAGGAAATTTATGACAAACTCAGGGGTGTTCTAGTGAAACATCGGTTTCAGAGCACCTCACCTCTGTTGGCCTCCTGGTAGACCTGCACCTTGCCCAGTTCCACCCCTAACCGCCTGAGGAGAGGACATACTGTTAGCTCCAATCACAACACCACTCACACCTTTACAATTTTGACATTTGCACACTTAAATGTACAACGTTTAAGATGGCAAGTATGTTTTATTGACAGTGCAGCTAAGATAATTTGAAAAAAAATTAATTAAAATTGGGCTTTACTTGAAGGTAACAAGATATTGAGCAAATTGTTTAGCCTCTTTTTATAGATTCAACTAAGGCAACGTCAGAAATTAATTTGGTTATAGTAATGATTTAGGCTAAAAGTGTCTATGGATTTTAATTGGATTTGTATTAATATTGCAATGTTTAAATGCTTAAAAATTTTAAGTAGACTTTGGTCCAGTTTGTTTTCATCATACAGCCTCTATGTCAAAGGTCTCTCCCAACCCTTACAACATTCAATCCATCATTCATATTGACAAGTTAAATATTTTGACAAAAAGTTTTGATAAGCTTGTTGTTTTGTAAATTTGTTGCTCACTTTAGCCATTTTCACACATGCTTTAAGGTGATTTGTCATGCAAGGTGATTTGTCAGTAAATTATTATCATCCCACTCTGTTGAGCGGGAGTTTCCCTACTTGTTTTGTTTTCCAGGTAACATGTGCAAATCAATGTATAATCTCTGTAGTCACACTGTTGTACCATAAACATTAACAGAGAAAAATAGAGCAAGTCTGTACAATCCCAAACATGAGACTTCGGGCTATGAGCTTTTTAACATGAAACAGAATCACTATAATAAAAAAAACAAAACACTGTTTTACAAAGTCGCAGTTGCTCTGATATGAATGCTTTGATAATGCAGTAGTGTAAACAAATGGGCCGTGTTATTTCAGACACATTCTTCTTACACTGAGGCTGCCATTTTACAATTTCATGTGTACAGTGAAACAACCAGTCATTCCAGCACCTAAGTAAGTCTTTGTGTGAGAAAGATGAGAGCTACTCACTCGGATATCCTCTTGCCCAGCTCGCGACTTGATGGGTGTGAGTTGGCGGTGAAGATGACCAGGCCTCCCTTGGTGTGGTTCATGTCTGCGGGGTGTCGGCCGCTGCTGCTCTCCCCACACTCAGGCAGTGGATCCCTGGGCACCCACGCTGCGCTGAGCCCTTCCTGCAGCCCCAAAAGAGGGAGAAGGACAGAGAAGGAGAGACGTGACAGCTTACACTGAACACTCAGGGGAAAGAGGAAATAATGTTAACACTTTAGATGCACTTTGACGACTGTACTGCAAGTACACTTAACTAGTTATGGTTTCCTCAAAAGTTTTCTAAAATCAAATTTTAATTAATTTAAAAACTCACAAGTAATGTAAACAAAAACAAAACCAAAAATCATTAATCATTATTACACATTAAATAAACTTCCATCCATATTATACATTTCCATAATATTCTCAAAAACATGTTTATATTATTCTGTTACCAGCAATAATCTGGTAGGGTAGCGTCTATAAAAGACCAGTCATGTTATTTTAGTAAAAGCAATGACTGATATGGGCTCTATCAAATAACTATGCTACTCACAGAACACAACTCGTTTAAACTAAACAAAGCATTGGAATACGATAACTTTCAAGATTTACAATATACTAAAACATTTATTAATGTTATTAGCTGTATAGATTTAGTCTCTGAAAGTATTTAAACCTTTAAAAGTGTTAATCGTGCATGTAAATTTCATACATAAGTCACGACATTAGCTTGCTGTATTGCTAAGCTAGCAGTCATGGTTCAGCACATGAGTTACACTTTCGTTTCCAAAGGCAGGGCAGCAGACGAGGGTGGGAGCCTGGATGTTTGTCTGACAAGTGTAGATATGCAGGCAAGTAGAGCTACGTTAGACAAAATAACTCCTGTGTCTAGAGTGGAGCCATGTTGACTTTACCAACACGGGGTAGCTGTGGCTAACGGGACTAACGCAGAGAGGCGCATGGAATAAGCCCAGACAAAAGCTCTCCAATCTCCCGAGCCTCGTCGCGGCCAAAATAAAACGATCAAATATGCAAAACAGAGAAAATGTAAATGTCTAAAGCTACAGGTTTCATTAGGAAACAAACACACTTACCAGTTTGTGTCAGGTCTCGTTTTAACCTACACTCTGTTGTAATTTGTGCCTCCAGCTCTTTTCAACCTGTTCCCTAGCTGAGGCTGTGGGCGGGGCCACGTTTGATTGACGCGCAGTTTGACCAATCATCATCCAGAACAGAGGGGCATGGGCGGGCTTGAGAATTTAACAGCGGGATGAAAAAAAGATGAAAAGAAAACAAACAACCAGTAATAAGTTGCAGAATAAATCTGAATAAAATAAAACAGCATTACGCTACCACTGTACAAAATTAATATTACATGGTAGACTATCTCAGTTTATGTTTGCAGGATAAAAATAACCTACCTTCCATGTTTAGGCTAATATTCTTCCTGGAGGTTTGCAGCCTTGTTGAAGTGTAACGTGCAATATCTGGCCACAAGAGGTCAGTGTTGTAAAGAGTACCTTGCGGATCCATTGTCACACTCGTAACGTGAATTACAATTGTGGTCAAAGCCTACAATAGATAATACCGGCTACTAATTCATACTTTTTCAACAGGCCCAATTACCTTTACTTTAGATTATTGGTTTAAAGTAATTGGCAAATGTATTTGGCCTACAAGGTAGCCTAGTCCTACGCCTAAAATTAATCTACTTCACCGCTGATAATCGATTTGATCTCGTGTGGAGCTGGTCGACAACTTCTTGATGTTACATTCATACTTTTTTTTTTTTTTTTTATCATGCTTCTATAGCTCAGAGCCAGAGCTGCGTGAATGCACGTCTAACAAAGAGGCATTTAAAAATACCTCCAGTATCTCAGTGGCATATGGGCTACTCTTTAGTGTTCTTATATAACTGATGTGTGGAGGAGGACGGGCCGCATCCAGCACTCCACTGCCCACACATGGAGTGAGACTGCAGCGAAAAGTCAAGGTCCACCACTCTGTTTCGAGCGCACACGTGATATCTGACCAGTGGTTAAAAAGTCAGGATAAAACTGTAAACTTCTCAAATGCGTTATAAAAGGGTACAGTTTGGATACACTGGAGACGTGAGGAGCTTACTTAATTCAACTCATTGTAAATGATGGATGTATAAGTACATTATAAGTATATGACCAGGAATTACAAATATTATTTTAAATTTACGCCAACACGTAGCAACTCCCCTTCACAAAACTCACTTCCCTAGAGTTAAAATTTTCCAATTTCTTTGTTGAAACTAAACAGGAAACTGCATGCAACCTAAATTTTATAACCTTCATTGAAAGAGGACAAGTCATCTGACGAATAAAGGTCTAGCATATTTAATAAGCTATTGCATGTCAAGTGCATAACATTGTCGGATTTCACATTTCGCTTGATTGGCATTTCCATAGTTTTTCATTGATACTGTTGATATTAGTCTGACTTATCCCTTTAGAGTGGATGACAGTAATATTATGTTATGAATGTGAGTTGGAGCAGAGCATTGCTCCTTTTACACCTTGGAGCAAGAGCCGCGCAGCTCCATGGAAACCGCGGGAGAGAAGAGGGGCGGGGGTAGCTCAGGGCACGCCCCCGAGCTGCAGTACGAGCAGTAGCACCGCGCGCCCGAGGCAGCTGGAGGGCGCGCGCCTGTGCACGTGCACCATCACTCTGTGCTCGCCCCCGCCCCCACGCGGACACTGATTACCACATCCAGCGCCCGAGCGCCTGTGAGGAGCAGCGCACGCGGAGATGGCTGCAGCTGGATGTGTTTACGACGCAGAGCACGAGAGCTTCAGTCCCTGCGTGACCGCTGTTTGAAGCCGCCTTTGGACCTGGACTATAGGAGGTCTACACTGGGTCTTGATCAAGACCAAATCAGGACTACACCACTGTAATACGTTGCTTGGCGCGGGTTTAGCTGTGGTGAACCGCTGCTGCAGCGGGCTGCGAGCGTCTTCTGTCGCGTAAAGGAGCGTCTAGTCCCTGAGCGAGACCGGAGAGCATCCTCTCCATCCGTCCCTGCACGGTCTCGTGCCTGCACCCCTCTAGTGGACTAGCACCACAGGACTGGGCACAGGGGAGGCGGCTCGGAGAATCGGCCGGGGCGGGCGCACCCTTCAGAGGCCGGGCTGTGCGCGGCGGTGGCGGAGGATGCTGCGGGAGTAGAGAGGCTCTGAGCGGACCATGGGGAAGGACCAGGAACTGCTGCAGGCGGTGAAGACCGAGGACCTGCTCACGGTGCAGAAGCTGCTGCAGAGGCCTCGACCCGGGAAAGCAAGTAAGGCATCTCCTTTAGTGCATACCGGCGCATCTCATCGCTTAGGGGCTGAGCTCAGGTCCTACCCCGCTGCCAGTCTCGGATCAGGCCTGGTTCATGTGTGATGGAGATGTGATGGAGACGTGATGGAGGAGGAGGACGGGAGGGCGGGTGTAGCACAGATTGAGGTGATTGGAGATTGACAGACCATGTAGACCCCAGCCCTGTCCACTGCAGCAGAGGCAGGTTCGTCTCCCTCTATTGGGTTACACAGATGTGTGGGTTTGGGTGGTTCATGGCGCGGTTTATTTCCACAGCCCACTCCAGTGTGTGGGCAGCGGGCGCAGGGAGAGCACTGTGCGGCAGCCTGTCTAGTTTTCTCCTGATAGATGTCGGGCTGACTGCAGGAATTCCCTTCCTTTCTGCATTCTCCAGTCTATTTGAATATTTGGTCGGATGAGCACGTTGTGTCTGCTGGTGTCCTCACGGAGAGTTAAATTGTGCGCAAAAGTGTCTATTCTGGTCATAAGACTTGCACAGTGTATGGGTGCATTCCTTCACAGGTGTTTTCAGTCCGTGCTGAGAATATGTGGGCGGGTCTACTATAGCCTACTTCCTTTCGATCAAATCCCTTAAAGACCATTTACCCCAGGAGCCAGTCACCTGCTGCTAAAATCTTAGGGCTGTATGTGTGATTGACAGCTGCCGTGGCGTATCACAGATGATATGAACATGTTCATTATTTGGTAAAATTAGTGTTTTTCAAATATGCCCTCAGAGTGCATTCCTGTCATGAATTTTACTTCAGTCTATAACTCAATTATGCCATGCTTGGGCTATTCTTCAGACTTCAAATGTAAGCTATTTGTACAAACATTTGTGTATAGCTCAGTTGAATGGGCTTCATTCTGGAGAAAAATTCTGCCATACCATACAAACCCATTCACAAATTTATGAGCCATATTTGTTCACTTTATCCTTTGCATTTTTCCCACCCTTTAAAGACCCTGTTGCAGCCTGTCAGGAACACTAGCAACCATTCCAGATGTTAAACAAGGCGGTCAGGAGCTCATGAAAAAAATAACCATTTGCATATAAGAAAATGCAAAACAGCCTTCTATTAACTTTTGCAACAATTAGCAAGTCTGCAATTAGCAATTAGTTGCACAGTTATTAACTAGGCTAACTATCACGACTTAAATGGTAGCAACAAAGATTTTGTCTTACTGTTTTGTAGGATTTTCATGGTCTAGGGTTTGGAGTTTGCAGTGGGTTAACAATGTTTTTATCCATTAAGTTTCAGTTTGCAGAGGCCGTACAGGAAACTCCTTGGATTAAAACTAGTCTCCTTCTGTCTGCTTGAAAATACTACCGTCATAAAAACGCATTCAGCCAGGTGGGGTCAAAATGTATCTTCTACAATACTCTGGGGGACATTATGTAGAGCAGTAACAGCCCATAGCTCGTGATGCAGAGGGTTAGCCCACAGCCTGCTCTGTGTAAATCTTCTGAAAAACCTGCAACTGCAAGACAATTTGCTCAGTAGATAGTGGCCATTTTCAGTAAATGACAGTCTGGGCCATTGGTACAATGCACAGAATATTGATGGTACTGATGCTAGTGTCCTCACATCAACTTCTATGTGTCCCTAAGCTATAATGTTACCATTTAATTAGGCTACATGCGGAAGTCACGTGCACCAGAATGTTAAGATGTAAAGATTTGTGCACATATATAATAACTAATAGGAAATGTTTCATCTTAAATTTTGATTACTATGCAATTAACGCTGAAAATGTACAGGAAACTAATGTGCATATATGCAAAATCATCCTCTTTTGCATCTAAATTTGAAAATGCTACATTATAATTAGACCTCAGTTGGCATCATTCCAGCCTCTGGATCATAATGAAAACTACTATAGATTTGAGATGTTTTGAAGGTGCAGTATGTAGTTTTTCTGGTAGAGGGTCTGACACATGCTTGACTCCATTGAGATGTTACAGTTTTGCCTGGAATGTACAGAATATGACATTAAACATATCCAGACCTGATCTATGGAGAGTCTGCTCACATTAAGAATGCATGTTTCTCAATGTATTTTTGAGCAATACAAATGACAGATAATCGAATAAATGCAAGATAGATTATTAAATGGAATATTATTAATTATTAAACTGAACCTTCTAGGCAAAGCAATAACATCTCTATGGAGACAAGCAGGTGGTGTATCCTTGACCTGAAACGTTATAACTTAAATAGTGTTAAAAAATACCCCATATCTGAAGTTATGCATATTCTAAGGAGAGGAGGCAGTCCCAGACATCAGACCTGAAGGCCTTTTACAGTAGCTATATCTTAGAATCTCAATGCACTGATCCTCTTATTGCACATTTACAAGAGTGTACTCCTATTAGTAAGACATAGGCTGTGATTTAATCCATCATTTTAAGAGTCTAATGTGGACCATCATCACTCCTCGATGAACACTTAATCACTGCTCATCTGCTGGAACATTTTATGGCTGTGCTGTAACTTGACTGCTGCCTCATTCAAACACACATCCGGCCAAGTCTGAGTGTCCAAATGCTGGCCACGACCCCGTACTGCAGTTTTTGTCCCGTTCGCCGCTCTGTCTCTCCGGGCATTTTATCATGTTCATAATTGACAGCTCGCCCTAGCCCTGTTGAGGCCCACCAAGTACAACTGTTTAGCATGCCGTGTGAAATTTCAAACACACAGAGAGAGGAGCTGAGAAGAGTTCTGCCTCAAATTAAGAGTTTGGGGAGAAGATATACAGATTAAAGGAGGAGATAGGAAGTAAGGGTGATCAACAGTGGTCATTTGGGTTAGATAATTAGGTCTAAATGTTAAATGGTCAGATTACAAATGCATGCAATGAGTCCAGTAATCAGTATGTAAGTTTTGTTCTATCATTACAAAGTCAGATTTTATGAGTACTGGAGTCAAGGCCAGTTTTGGCCTTTGGAACTCTACTCAGAGTTTGTGAGGAGCATTCACTCGTAACTTGCAGTTCAGGCTTGAACTTATGTGTCGAGAACTAGTTCTCAGAGAGTTTTACAGCCTGGCCCAGTGTATGTGTATGGAAACACTGGAATAAATAAACATGTAGCTACATTTTCACATAGCAAATCACTATTTCCAATTGTGATTTTAAGGTTAAGAATAATTTAGGGTAATTCACAATCAAATGGGCTCAATTTAAATATTTAGTGTTTTTCTTTTTTGACAGTTGGCTGAACTTGGGTAGCCAGACTGGTGCCACCTAGCATCTCCGCTCAATTGCATTTCTCTCCAACGACTAGGTCAGGAATCAGAATACACTAGACGGTTTGCCAAAACCCCGGAAGTGCGAGTTCAGGTATCAGCCAATCAGCCATAAATTCTGTGTTGGCAATGAGAGGATTTAAAGCTAGAACAAAGAGAATGTTTGGTGAATTTTATCAAGAGGAAAGACGTTTTTGCTCTACTTCCTATGGGATTTGTGAAAAGCTTAATATGTCCCTGTTAGTGTTGCATTACATACATTACGACCAAATAGCAGTGATTGGTTAAGTACCCGCCTACTGTCGAGCAAACTAATTCCAATGCTACGAGATCAGACGGCTCCTACGAAGTGAAATGTCTGAAAAGTCTGATGTATCAGACTAGAATTTGGGACTTGGACTAACTTGTATTTATTTACGTTTAAGACCATATGACTTGGACTCCTATGATGACTCCAGTTACCTGAAATCCTGAAATGACAGAAAATTACAAACTGACAAATGTTATGGAAATTAAATTCTCATTAAATAATTCCATGTATTTAATCAATTTCTTTTTCCAAAACATCTCCATAAAACTTCAGAAGTGAACATGGCAGGGAGAGTAGTCCCAGGAGTCCCTGACAAACAGCAGCTCTGTACTGTAGAGCGTTTGTGTTTGTCTTGTAGCATTAAGCACAACTCGCCTTTAAACCTGCGTGTGTTAAACCTGCATCAGCCCAACAGGCATGTGAAAGACCTGAACCACTTCACTTTGCACTTTACACTAAAGGCCAACATCTGCCACATCTGGACTGGCCTTGGCTGTTTGCTGTTAGCTCACTGTGGCTCTTTTCATGTTTTATGTGACCCCATGCTATTTGTTAGCCTGGTGAGCCAGTATTTGATCCTGATTTGTGTCAAGTGGTCTGTAAAGGGGCGGCACTGTTTACCCACTAACACAGTGATCAGCAATTTCACCGCAGCGCTCTTCATACCAGTCCAGAGTGTTGGTCCTTTCATGTCCTTGGACAAGACATTTCACCCACATTGTTGATATGAATGAGGTGTGAGCAGGATTAAATTGTGTTGGAGTGGCTGGTGGCACAGATTGGCAACCTCTGTCGATCACAGGCAGTTAGGGCTTACCATGGACTGTGTGGTTTAAATAACTAGGCTTATGTTATGTAAAGCATCTGAAGAGCCGAAATATGCAACAAAAGTCATTATAAAGATACTATAGATACTAAAGATACTTGACTGTGACATTTCCCCTGATCCAGGAGTCTTTATTGAAGTATGTCTATTCCATCCACAGACAAAGAGACAAATAGGGAAACCAATTACACTTGGCTTGTGTGATACCAGCTGGCAATAGTAGGTCTCTAGCATGCTAATTAATGCCTACAAATGGCATCTTTAAGTTAAAATACTGAAATATATTTAAAAGTTATAGGAAAATTGCATCGTCCTATTTGAGCTTATTTCATACTGGTTCAAACGCAGCACAGTGAGTATTACTATTTGTTTACGTCTTGTTCTTATATTATATTATAATGTGTGAGCTACGGTGTCCAAGCATGTCCGCTTTGGATCAGTAAAGTTTGTCTAAGTCTAAGATAGGCTGTCCACTGTCTGTAACCTTCAATACCACATTTAAATTATGGATTTCCTAAAATGTTATGATGGTATGTTCTTGTGCCATCTGGCCCACGTGCGACCTCCCTCTCTGGACTCTGGTCTTCTTTGCTCCG